CAATAACAATAGTAATTTGGTTAATAATCATGCTCATACAATGCAACTTGTTTCAGCTTGATAACCCTTTACAAATGGCTGTTTAATTAGGCCTGGACGAAAGGGGACAGGGTCATGGTGGTCGCAGTTTACAGCCAAATATATGCAAGATTTAATTGAAGTACAAGTATATTTACTATAACAAATTCAAATGGAATACACAGACTAAAACTGCTTAGCTTAGTCATTTCAAATTAAAGATGTATGCGTTACCAACATAACCACTAACACCAACGTCAACGTCAACGTAAGTTTTCGGGTTTTTGCGTGATGATTTTGAACTGCTACCATCAGGATCATTAACGATATCATCCAGAGAGATATCCGAGCAGTCGTTCCTTGCAATGCGGCTACTGCAATGAGAAAAGCTGTTATCAAACTATGCCAATTGATAAAGTTGAAATTTTAAGTTTCCAATTTGCAACAGGCAAATTTGCAACAGGCAATTTGCAACAGTCGTTGTTTGACTGGGTTCGTTATATGGAAATTTGTGAGAAAAGACTTCAAGTTTTGGAAACTCAAGAGTCATTGATTGATGTCATAACGTTTTGATTTAAAAGAACATGCAAACTTTCATACCGTTTGTATTTGAATCCTAACAGACTCAGTATAACCACGAGTACAAGTAGAGATACTACGACTCCTATTATCACACTACTAGGAGGAGTACTCTTTGACTGTTCTGCATGATTTGTTGATTCTGAACGAAGAAAACAATTAATCAGCCACAGAGTACTTTTCATCATCCTAATGATAGTACCAAAGTGTTGCATGTGTTCACCTAGCGCTTTCCATAACGACCTCATTTTGATTTTGTTTTCCACATCAAACTTTTATGACTGCCCACAAAAATGATCGTTTTATCTCAAACTCAAAAATCAATATTACCTCTGGATCTATGTCAACCGTATAGTTTTAATTATATAAGTATGTAAATTATTGCACCGTTTGGTCTACACAATATTACATTGCTACTGTCTTGGGCACGCCTACACAGCGACAAACACACAGGTTAGTCGAGAGTGATTTATCTTTATTCAGTATATAATTAGTATTTCATGGTTTTAATTTGTTTATATGAATATGTCGGCTAAACAAATTCACATAGACTTCAACTTTTTTAGGTGATATGTTCATCATTATATTACCTGCAGTAAGTTCGATTGTTGCAATATGGACTGGGTCACTCGCGTAGGTTTCCTGAAAAAAGTCGTTGGGAACGGAATTATATATAGATTTAGTCATGTCAATAAAAGACAGGTAACAAAAGTATGAAAAAGCTTTATCTTAAAGGGAGTATGTGAAAAAATGGAAAAGATCGAAGGAAGAAAAAGAGCTACGAACGAATGTAAAAATTAAGGACTGAGAGATGGAAAGTAGAAAAAGGACTATAGTCCGTTGTGCAGATGTTTCTAAGTAATGTCTGTTAAAGAATCCCATCTTAGAAAGCTACATTTCACTTACCCCGTTATATTTTGTGATGGCTCTCTCAGCTACGGTGTAAGCCTGACCTTTTACCAAAGGCACGTTTTTGTATATTCCATACATTCTATTGTCACCGATGACAAACATTCCTGCAGTCTTTATTTGGTCTGGTTTTAGCTCGGCTGTGATGTAGAACAGTTCGTTATTGCTGCTGGCCTTTTTGTAGTCACTGAGGTTTTCTGGTATTTCGGTCATACTCTTATTTCGGCCACTGACTACAATTACGTGGTACGAACTGAAAATAAACGCGCATATTATAAGCTTATTATTAATTGCACAACATGTAAAATGCCACCGATATCTTGGTGTTACATGCAGTTCTCAGTTACGATGGAGTACTCATGTGAATACAATTGCCAACAAGGCGAACAAAACCTTGGGGATCGTCCGCCGTATGCTAAAGCCTTGTGGTGCTGCAGTGAAATCGAGAGCCTATGTGRCTCTAATCAGACCACAGCTGGATTACGCTTCTGCTGTATGGAATCCATATGACAACAAGGCAGTCAACAAACTGGAACAAGTACAGAAAAATRCAGCTCGTTTTGTTACGGGGGACTATCTTTGGTCTACGAGTTCTTCTATGTTGGTTAGTTCACTTGGGTGGAGTACGCTAGAACAGAGACGACTACTCAATATGGCCTTGCTGTTTTTCAAGTTCCATAACAACCTGGTTGCCTCTGAGATACCAGCTGAATACCAGCTGAAGACACTGTTCTACCTACCGTCAAGTCCAGACTAACGTCCAGAGCTATACTTACTCTTTTTTCCCAAGAGCAGTTAGACTCTGGAACATGCTGCCTACAGAGGCAATACAGTCAACTTCAACAGAGTCCTTCAAAGGCATAGTTTCAGCGGYAATTACAGATTTGAWAGTGCCTCMTTATTTAAAGCGACTCTAACCTGAACATATTCAGTGAACCGCTACTATTCATTTTTATTTATTAATATGTATTTATTTATTTATTTCCAATTTATTTATTTAATTTCCTATGAACCTTCTAGGATTAGCGCAAGCTAGTTAGGAGAGTAATTAACTAAGAACTAAGAACTAAGAAGAACTTTCATGTTGTTACCTCAGTAAAACAAAGTCACATATAAAAGAACAAGAACCACTGCGTGGAACACACCGTGCGGTCCAGCTGGTTACGTTGTAAGTATATAGAATTTTGCCGTGAAACATGTATTTTTACCAGCGCAGCGATCGATTTCACAGATTTTGCGTACGATCTATTTACATCTTGTTTTAAAAATATTTTTATCATTGCAGCGAGAATTTAGCATTCAGATTGCATTCGTATTATCCTCAGAGAATTTCTAAGATGAAAGTTTGCTTGCGTTTTCGAGAGAAAAAAAAGAACGAGTATATTTTAAGATAAAGAAAGAAAGAAAAAAAAAATGTTTAGAAGCTGCTCAAGTCGAGAAAGAAAGAAAGAAAAAAGAAAGAATTTTTCAGACGTGCTCTAGTAGAGATCGATCCTTGGAACTCTGGATTATTGGTGCCTTGGGATTGCTAAGCTGCGACGTGAAAAAAAAATTAAGTCGCTGAATTTTATAACCGTACCTCAGGCCTTCGGCATGGACACCGTCACCAGTCATGCAGACGCAAAACATTAGAATAAGCTACAATCTAGAAATATATCTATAAATGGTACATCTTGACCCCTTTCCCCAAATGCAAGGTTATGACCAATTAATATATGCTCTCATTCTTTTGAAGCATTCTTTATTTCCGATAATCTAAGATTCTAAAAGCCGGGGAATTCAGCAGGGAAGATTGGGGGTGATGAATTTATTACATTCAAACTGCAAACAGGTCATTATTGTGTGCACCGAGACGGAACAGAAGTTCATTATTTCGACAAATAATGACCTACAGTCACATCTCGGTGGCTATAATAATGATCTGTTTGCAAAATAAGCTAAAAGGTAGTTTACAAACAAAAACATGCCGAAACAACAAAACAATAAATTGCCTAAGAACGTCCATCAGGTTTTCATCTTCAGCGATATCCAACAATTCTGAATATTTCAGAAACCATAGACTTCTCATCTATGGGCGAGCCCTTTCGCCAAATTACCGGCAACTTTGGTGCGAACGGGAAACCCACATTGCTTAACTCTTTGTATTAATTGGAATCGACGCCTCTGTTAGTCCTACTCTCTCTTGCAGTTTATTGAAGCAAGTTTGCTGACGCTCCTCGACTTGATTGTCTTCATAATCTAAGATAAAAGAAGTAGTTCATTCAATTAAAAACATACGTTACGTACTAACGGGCAGTTCAAAGTCAAGTCAATAGCGTCACATGAAATACAGCCTTTTGCAAAAATTATGAGAATTGTTGAAATATCTAAATATCATAATATCGAGTGCATGATGGGTAATCCCGCGCGATGACCTTAGTCCCTTGTCTTTGTAGTTTAGTTTTTTTTTTGGCGACAGACTTATCCGTAGTTCTGAACATTTTCTCGATGTCAACAATGAATTATTCTAGCAAACCCGCGTGTTCCGGACAATATATGGATATGGATATTATGATATTTAGATATTTAGACAATTCTCATAATTTTTGCAAAAGGCTGTAATCAACAGAATATGTAAAATTACCTTCGGCAGCAGTTAAAGAAGGCTTCTCGTTTTTAAAAATGTCCACCATCTGCGATTGGACAGCTATCATCGATAATCCTTGTCGTATGACACTTCGCCCGGACGGCACTTTTCAAACATCTCAATCTCAGCAAAGTTCTTCGTCAAGTGAACTCAATAAAATGCACATGTAAAAAGACAATATTCTCTTTCATAGTCAATAGCATCGTGACAATCTAAAAACTCACATAGTTGTTTTCCGATAAAATAGGATTAAATTACAGCACGTAGTTTGAAGTACAAAGCCTAGAAATTGCTATGCTTACTTGAAGCCAATAAGTTTTAAGATTTAGATTTTCTTTGCATATAATAGTTTTAATGGAACAATGGGTTTTAGAAAACCGCTCAAAACTAAAACCATAATTAGCTTCCTTATTGTAAAACACGAACAACACAGTTTTGATAGACAAGGTTTTGTTTCTTCGAAAACAATGAGAGTATATATTAAAGAGGATAATGGCCTCGCTCCTCGGCTTATTGAAAATAATGGCCGAGCGCACAGCCTCGAAACTCATCTGGTAGTTGTAGCAAAGTTACGCCATGCAAATGGCCTATTGGTTCATCCGATAACAGGCTTTTTGATTTGCTTTCATTACGGCATCATTGCAGATGGTCCATATACAAAATTATAGTTTACGTTGGATGTTGAACGAACAAATGTAAGGATGTATGAACAATATAACAATAATGTCGATATTGAAATCTGATCAATGACTTCTCTACCTAATTGGTCCATTGTGTGGTTTGAATGTCCATAATGTAACGTTAGAACTGTCTTTCAGAATCAAAGGAGTTACTTGCTGTGCAATATGGGGCTCTGTCGAATGAACATGAAGCAACATTATTAAAAGACCGATATGAATCCCGGCTCATACAAACGTTAATGATTGCCTGGTACATACTATCCACTTGTGTTTCCACTGTTACTGTTAAACTCCTGTTGCTTTCACCACAAACTGTCAACGCTGTTACCCAGAATTCATAGTGTGTCCCTGGCTGCAAGTTATCTATCTTAAGTGTTGTTTGCCTGCCAGCTTGGGTTTTAGTTTTGAGTGGAGGTCTATACTCAGACCAATATGGCTTTGAACCCTTGAAATGTACCTTGCATGAAATAGAAAAAACAAGAGTTACGGAACAATTATATTTAAGTACTGTTAATGAAAACAATTAACGCTATAATAAGACAACAATTACAAAAAGTGATATTTAATTAGAAATTGTCCGTTGTATATTCCAAAACAAAACGTAACTTTATTAAAACTTTGAATTGAACAAAAGCCATTGGGGGAGTTAAACAAACTCATTCGTGGTATTACTATATTTTAGAGCTAAAGAAAGTTACTTCAATTTTTTTAACTTTTTATATCATTCTGTGTTTGATATGGAATATGTTTTCTCAAAACGTTTGTCATACCGTATAATTTGTTTCATCTTCTTTAATTCCCTTTGGTTTCTCCCATATCAAAATAATAAAAGCTCTTCTTATTGTAAGTGGCCTCAAATGATGCGGTTCTCCTGGCCCTACAAAAAGAAATCGAGATTATGAAAAATGGAAAGTACAATTATTTTTCTCATTAACCTTAGATACCCTAAGTAAGATGGTGTTGTATATGATACTAAGAAAACTACTTTGGGCATATTTTTGGCATTGTACTTACTTGATGTGGTTAGATCTTGAGTAGCATTTGGACCTAAGCCAATCTTCGTTGCAGCCGCAACACGAACTTCATACTTTGCACAAAGTCTTAGACCGTTCAAAACAAATTGGGTTCCCTTTGTTGTTCCAGTGAAAGTGTCACCAACTGCCATTCTCTTAGCTCGTCCAATGTGACGTAAGGCCCAGACGACCTTGTACTTTATGATGTTTCCATTAGCTTTGTTTCTAGGCAAGGGCTGCCAAGCAATAATGAACGTTGTTTTGTTTTGCTCTGTCACTTCTATGCCTTGTGGTGCGATGTCAGGCACTAATTTGATAACATAATAAAATGCAATCAATGATAGCTACAATAGTAAGAAAATTGCTACTTTGTGAAAAGTTCTACTTTCAGAAAAGTGTGATTTTGAGTCATGCCAAATATTTCAACTTGAGTTCCAGCGACTTAAATCGTTCAAAGACGTTAAGACGTTCAAAATAAACCCACAGCACAAATATACAAAGGTTTCACTCCATGATAACACTGCATATCAATATGACGGCATTGCAATATATTGTTCAAACGCAAAACAATCACTTAAAGAAAAAATACATTTTATATACCTATAATTAACTGATAAACTAATCCTCACACAGCATCGACGTTGAGATTTTTCATTTTGCAATTCTTATGSCAAATTTGATTTGGGGTTTAGGGACACCCTTAAGCGACCCCTCACTAAATACGCTCCAGATTTAAAGATTTTATAATTTCCTAATTAAGCTCCAGGGCACTATCTAATTTCTATAAACAATTCTTATTTATTTT